CGACACACACACGACACACACACACACACACACGACACGACACACGACACACACCACGACACGCACACGACACGACACGACACGACACGACACACACACACACACACACACACACACACACACACACACACACACACACACACACACACACACACTATTGGCCTTGCACGGACCCCGTGTTTGCCGAGGCGGCTATATACATGCTGTTGACTCGCTTCCTTCTTTATTCGCTCGTTTTTACCTGTGCCAATGCCATGCGTGCGAGAATTCGCTTTCAAAAATTCCCCAAGAATGTGGGTTCATCAGCATCTGCTGGCTGTGCAAGCATCGGCACTCACTGACTCCCTACACACACACGCACACGCACGCTATGTCTGTTGTATGCTATGTATGCATCGCTGACACAGCGGCCTGACTCACGCTAGAATGACCGGCAAAATATCCAACAGACTAAGAGAAATTTTAAGAACAGCTAGTTTCAATATTATTTTTTAGCTATACCACACATTACCTATCTACATGCCTTTTTTACCTTTCCTATATTACTTGAGCGAAGAAGTTGTTAAATTAAAATATCTCGGTAAAGTTTTGAAGAAAGTTTTGATACTCGATTTTAAAATGTGGCGATTGGCGCTGAGTTGGAAATGGATTGTGTCAATGTTGGTGCTGCCTCTCGTGGCAATGACGTGTGTATGGAGGGGGTGTATGTGTGTGCGCGCGTACATGCGTGTGCGTGCGCGCGTGCGTGCGTGTGTGCGTGTAAACACGGGGAAAAAGACAGATTATTGCAGCTAAAATTCAGATATCAGCTTCATAAAGGCTTCAATATTACAAATTCTACTTATTGCTCATTAATTATGCACGTGATATCTCGTGATTTACTGATGACAACACGAGCCATTCTAACAACACACATGGTACCCCCGCTAACAGCATAACACAATAGATAATAAATCACTGGAAAATCATTAAAGATTTTTTGACATAATTAAAAATTTTATAATTAAGATTTTATATGCTGCTGTGCGCAAATAAAAGCATTAATGCATTTTCCATGAAAGCGTTAATTGTAATTATCTGCAATGTAATGCCCGGGCTGATAATCAAGTGTTTAAGTATTCGCATGATCAACAAGAATCTTACGCTTCGTTACCGAAAATACAATTAAACGCCTTTCGATAGTATATCACCAATTAATCTGATTGGAAAAAAAGAACTAGTTGAAAAAATAAATCGTCAATTGGGTTATACGATATTTATTTAGTTACTTGATCATTTATTTACTCATCTATTTCGCGTAGTTTTTGCATTGGATGATAACGGAGACGTATGAATAATAATGAGCAATGATGTCTATCATCGATTTAATATTAAATGGAATAGTTTTGAGGTATTTTTTTATGCACGCGCGCATGTGCAGGTTTTACATGCGCCGACGTGAAATCGATTCGCGTAGTTATGGATACGTGATCGATATCGTAGAGCGAAATAAGTAGAAGATCGATAGCAGCTAACTGATTGGCCTGAATCGCCCTGTCTACACACGCAACTGTAAATTGATGAGAAAACTACGTATCGATTATTGATCCGTAATAATAGATGAATAAAATCATAAAATAAAAAATAATAAATAAATAAAATAATAAAATAGATAAATAATCCGTGATATCGAGGGCTATAGAGTGATATCGGGGGCTCGGCAATGGCATACATTTTGCGACTAGGCTTTGTAGATTTATGTTCTACAGGTGACTTTAGCTGGTCGCGTGGTCGCATATTATAGGCACTCCCCTTAGGCTGTCGCTACCTCGCCTTGCTATTCCGCTTCCTTTCTTCCACGTTAGCTCTCTAGCTGTTTTTTACGTTAGTTAAATCTATACCGATGCATTGATCGCTTGACTCTCACTGACTTACCTGCCCCTCTCTATCTCAGTCTCACTTACTCTCCCTCTCACTCTCACTCGCGTTCATTCTATCTCTCTATTGCGAATGAATTCAATTTTTGTTGCTCACTACAAAACTGAAATCAATTCGACTTAATCTCGCTCTATACTTGCACCTATCCTCTTACCTGGCGTTGGCGGTGGTCTGGAAACGTATGGCACATCTGCAAAAACCAAGGAAAAAATACGTTAACTTACTAAAAATCACTTTAATACAACGGCACATTTGCACAACAAATATTCTCCGACATATATTTACACACCTAATTTCAAAATACGCGAAATGTCAATTTAAAAATGCTAATAAAACAAGAATGCATCAATGCAAGCCCCTCTCGAAAACAGGACACGCGCTATGTTAAGGCGATTAACGCCTTTTTCGCCTGTGGAATCATGTCTGTATCTATGACAACGCGCGTAGTAGGAAACTGCGAGTCACAAGATGTATAGGTTTCAGAATCCCCGCAGCTGTTTCTATCCTCGCCATCTCTCATTCGTATTCAGAACGCGCGAGTTTTGTCGATAAATGTTTCCGCCGATCCTCATGATTGCGTGGAAATGTTTGACGATGCCGACATTATTCAGCAGTTAACATTTATGCGAGATTTACTCGCAAGTAATATGTCCGATGCATCAAAGCCGAATCGACTCGAATTTTGGTACACGCGCATTAAGGCACTTCCCCCAGTCAAGTGCGCGAAAACGTTTCGGGTCATTTTAAAATGCCGCTAGAAAAGGTTTGCATTTATTCGAGAAGTGGGAAGGGCGAGCATAGACGGCCACCCCACGTCGCACGCAGGCGATTGTCCGCTGCTAACACCGCCCAGCAAAGCGACCACGGACACGGTCGTTCGCCCATCTATACACTTTACCTTGACACGCTGTATTTTAAAGTACCTGCCCGCAGAGATATTGCGGCCGGATTTCGATAATACGTCCGCAACAAAACGCCCTTTTGCCGTGTACAATGTACGTAAGCGCACCTTTCGCTATGCGAGCTACACAGACAAGCAGTCGATACAAACAGCTGCCTGTGACATATCGCAAGCCTAAGCTCATCCACCCACTACTACTCCCAGTGTGCTACGCTAATACGCTCGGCATCCACTCACCAGCGTGGCCTCATCATCATGTTCTATTAATATCAGATCCTCGTCTCTCTGTTATGTCCCCCTCCTCTCTCTTCTCCCTGTTGTTCTCATTCTACCCATGCTCTCGCCTTCGCGCACGGCAGTTATACGCTCACGTTTCCTAACCTCTTACTATCGCGTTCAATTCATACAGTGTATTTGCTTCTCACTTTCTTTCCCTCCCGCCCTACTTCTGCCTGTCTGTCTGTCTCTCTCTTTCTCTCTCTCTCTCTCTCTCTCTCTCTCTCTCTCTCTCTCTCTCTCTCTCTTTACCTTCAGCCACCACTTGCTATCATCCCCCATTCTCCCCCACTCTAGATCTCCCACCCCCATCCTCTCACTCCATGGCAGTAGTCAATGGTTATTTGCATAACAAGAGCATCCATGATGACAGTAAACACTTTCCACAATCCTTCAACAATCCTACCAAGTACATATTCGTAATCATTTAAAGGAATAGGATGTGCCATTCACAAGTAATGCGAGTATTTCAGGCATGCGCGAAAACAATGTTAATCCGCATGTTCGCAGGTAAAGCGTTGCTAAATATATCAACACGAGCTGTTAGCTAATCATTAGAACGATCCGTGCAGTGCGAGAGTGCCAGAGAGCACCCAAAATCTCAGATCGTGTCCCTTTAATTTACTCGCTCCGTGCGACCAAACTGAGAGTACAAAATACGCGGTTCGCACGAAACGCAGTTACGCAATTCATCTGCCTACATTCCTATAACCATATGAGCCGAAGAATATAATTGGGCACTTTTTGACAAAAGCATGAAAATTGGCACGTTAGGTAGTTTAAGATAATGATCATTCAGATGAGATCGGGTCTGAAAAAGAAGACGAAGAAAAAGAAGACGAAAAAAAGACGAACTATTTCGGAGGTAATTAAGCCGGCGAGGTGTTAGGCGAGTGAGATTGCGTTCGTGCGGCCAGTGTGCAGCGGAGGCGTGGTAAGCCCCGATTAGGGAGCTAATGTAGATTAAAGAGTTGCTGCTGCGAGGCAGAGGTAATTTGTGCGGCTCACGGCCAAGCTTACGCGCCGACTATTCGATGTATAGTAGTGACACGGACACAATCACAGGTATAAACACACGCAAGCACGCACACGCACTCAAGCACTCACGCAAGCGCACACGCACACGCAATCAAGCACTCACGCAAACGCACACGCGCAAGCGCATGCGCACGCACGCACACGCACGCACGCGCACGCACACGCACGCACACTCACACCTGTACACAAACACGCACTCAATCGCATACACGTACGCGCGTACTCACGCGCATGCACACAAACACGCAACCACTAACGTACAGACATTGTCACACACGGATACGCTCATGCAGATACCATGTTACACACACTACACAGTCACTGTTACACGCGCTATCAGACTGACACTCTCACATGCAGACACTGTGCTACTTTCACCTATGTCTCTCCGCGCGTATACACATATGTACGAAAGTGTAATAACATAGACTATATAAGACTAATATTGTCTCTATATTATGACACTCCTGATATGTACACGTACGCTTCCGCAAACGCAGCAATATATCATCGCCGTAATAATAAATGTTGACATAGATAAATACGAACGCAGTTTCCGCCGATTTGCACTCGACGATCTATCTGCTGCTTCAACGAGATGACTAAATCGACGAGGCATTGTTGAGCGCCACCTCCATCGCCTAATGCACTCCTAATGCACTACTAATGCACTACTAATGCACTACTAATGCACTACTAATGCAATCACGGGGGATGTTAATGTACGAAGTCATGCCACGATAAAACAACGGTCGCACCACAAAACGCGCACAGCGTGTGCGTCTCTCTCTCTCTCTCTCTCTTTACCTCCGCGCAACGGAGTTGCAGGGAGGTAATGTAATCGCTCCCGTGTGTGTGTGTTCGTGTGTGTGTTCGTGTGTGTGTGTAGCCAGCAGCGAGCCAGCTGTTATACACATGTATACATGTTACACGCGTTGGCGCGATCGATTCAGCACCAGCTCGCCTTAGGGCGTTCAGTCAGACTCAGCAGCAGCTCGCCTTAGGGCGTTTAGTCAGCAGCAGCCAGCAGCGAGCCAGCTGTTATACACATGTATACATGTTACACGCGTTGGCGCGATCGATTCAGCACCAGCTCGCCTTAGGGCGTTAAGTCAGACTCAGCAGCAG